AAAAAATAAAAATAAAGGCGATCACCGTATACGCTCCAAAAATGTAATTGACACTAACTGCAGCTTGCCTATTTATAACTTTACAGGTATCGCAAACAAGTTCTAGAATATTCACGATTATCAATATATTCCTACAAAATATGATTTTCCCAACAACGATAAACCGTGAATATTCCAGACCATTCTCGTATCTCAACAAAATAAAATAAAAATTATAAATAAAAAATATTGAAACACATAAGTTCTTATTTTGACGTTACATTCTGGGGGAGGCTTAAGCCTCCCCCGATATCCACCTATGATAGTAGTATTTATTTAGTATAAGCATTATCAAATTAAAAAAATAACGTTTCATCGTTTTGTTTGATATGATTGTATGTAATAAACCTTCTGAAATGTGGACCACGAATAAAAAAAAAAAAAATGAATTATAAATAATAAGTTTCGATAAAATGTATTATTTTAATCAACCATGATTAAACATTTTTGTCTGCCTTGTCCTAAAAATTCCTAAAATATTTTTATGCGTCTAAAAATTAAATTGCATATCATTATTTATATTGACCATATAATCCTTTTTTCTATTGTAACGAGAAAAAATCATTTACAATTATAATATTAACAATAATACAATTTAAAAATTTATTTTTCACATACTTATTCCTCACATTAACTATTTATTTTTGTTTTTTTAATTTCCTATCAATCTGCCACGTCGTTTTTTGAAACTTATTTGCTTCAAACCTTAACTCTAACATTAGTCAGTTATAAATGATAAAACATTGTTATGAGACCGGTGTTTTAAGTAACGATTGTATAAGTAGTAGTGATTTTGGCTTTTACTTTTAAGCAAAAATAAATGGCAAGAGATTTAAATGCAAATTTAATAAGAGAGAAAATCCCGAATTGCAAAATACTTGTGATTTAAATAATTCGTTTCGGTTCTTAAACAAGATTTTTCCAACAAAAGAAGCATAACAATCTTGATTTGACTCTCAAGGCTTTAAATGACTTTGTATTTGATATTTCGGTCTCCTGAGCGACACAAAATAATTTTCGAAAACCGGAAACTTGAATAATTACAATTTTTCATTAAAATAATAATAGAACACATTCTGCACAGTAATAGAATTATAATTGTCCGTAATATTTGAAAGGGAAAAACATATCACATTAATGTTAATGGAATATAATTTTGATAAGTTACTTTAATTTCACCGTCAAAAGCGTTAGTATACTACGTACTACATAAAAAAAAAAACAACTTGCATAACAAATTAACTTATAACGATTTTTTTTTAAATTGATGTAGACTAAACTCTTTAATTTTCTACAACTTACGATTCAAAATGTTTAAATTAATCAACTGAAAGTGCTCACTCTTTATTAAGGTAATAAACCATAGAAAGGTTTTTCAACGAACAAAACAATATAAATACAAAATGAGCAAAATAAAATTATATCACGTTTTTAATTATAAGTAGTGAATTTTCAACTAAGGAAATGAGTTTTGTATCATTTCAATAATTAAAAATGGTACCTTAAATAATTTATTTTCGTAATGCTTCTAGGTTGTGTGTGTGTGTGTGTTTGTTAGAAAATAAATTGAGATAAATTCTTTCGTACTTCAAAGGAATGCATAAGATTGTGTTCGTGAAAAAAATATGAAATTTAGATATTATAATAATATTTTATACCTAAACAGAAAAAACACTAAAGACTAAAATTATTCAAATTGGGTACTGGAAAATGAGTGTACTACAAAACAGCAATAACAAGACTAAAAATAATAATTTCATTCAAGTCAAAGCGTTTTAATTAATGTTATTCACCATAATTCTATAAAATATAGCATTTAAACATCATGTTTTAAATATACCATATTTAACGCATTCGAGTGTATCAAAAATACAATCTTCAATTTTTTCACATTTTTCAACAAAATAATTGTATGCGGTTTTGTGTTTAAAGATTGTTAATTTGATATAAAAGTGTTCAGTTAATCTTCAATAATTGATTTTTCATACGACTCGTATTTAATTTATAAATTTTATTCTATACTCGGAGCAAACTCAAACGTATTGTACGTTTTTGTGAATAATGTGCCAGTAAAATGTGATCTAACATCGAAACTGCTTTTACATTGTATACAAAATGAAGTTTGTTTCACGAACAGTAACAAATAATTTATTAATAATATTATTTTAAAAAATATATTATCAGTTATTAAAGAACGAGTCCAAAGAAGATCGGTCGATTTATTCTGAATATAAATTAATATCTCGAATTTTTAATCAGGATAAACATTTTTTGGACTACTGCGATCGTCGTACTTTAATAATATGAAACTGAAACAATATTATGTCTAAGGAAAATTACGGACACGTGTTATATTTCATCGAAAAATCAAAATAGAATTCTGACATCTACTTGATATTCATGATATTTTTCAGTCCCGTTTCTATCCAACAGAAATAATGACGAAATGGGGGAATATTTTTATTTGCGAAAGCTATATTTGAAAGTGCTGAGAGTGATAATTGTTCCTCGGCAAAATAACAGGAAAACCATTGAGTCACGTAGTATACTGATTAAAATAATAATTACACTATGGTGAACTGGGTATGAATTATCAGGGTTCTTATAAATATCTGAATAATTATTTATTTTTAACTGAACGAATCCAGACCCGAATATTATAACGTACAGTGGATAATTCGAAAACTTTGATAAGTCGAAAAAAATTCTGTTCCCTTATGTAAACCTCGATTATTCGAAAAAAAAACTATAGGTAACTCGAACATATTGTGCTCCAAATATAGATGGATAATGACGGATAGCTTTATAAACATTTTTCTAAACGTTCCGATGATTTTTTTTCTAATTGCATTTATTGTATTTATTATCGTATGTATTAACTAATCTCGGCACACAACAATATTTTTTATTTGTATCGGTATTGCCAATTGCGATCGATCGATTACGCGTGTGCGGTAATTTTATGTAATTGTGTTTATTTTCGTATGTATTTATTAACCTCGGCACACAACAGTATTTTTCATTTGTACTGGTATTGCCATACTGGTATTGAGGACAAATAAGATATTTGTGATTTTAAATTATCATCTTAATACCGTGAGACACATTAATATTTTATATCCTAAAGGCTAAAAACTCTTTAAGTCGAATTTTTTTTCGAAAACCTTAGTAAGTCGAAAAAAATTGTATTTCCCTTGAATTTCGACTTATCGAAGTTCCACTGTATATTCAAACATTAGATCAAAGTTGAAAAATGTTTTTCCGATCCATGAAACCAATTTGCAGAGTGTCACAACTCGACTTGCTACTATTACAATCGATAATGCATCATGATAGTATAAGTAACGTAATATTGGTACAATAATTAAAATGTTAAAATATAATTTTCTAACTGAAATACGGATCGTTACTGCGATGAGCCGCGAAAAAAACCTTTGCGCGTGGTGTTTCTTGTTGTTTCATGATCGGAATGTACCTAATTTCATTAAACATCCAGTAAATTACAGTTCAATGGTAAATTCAGAACCACTTTTTTGTACGTAAACAATATGCACCAATCTATTTTCTAATTTATTTCGTAAAATTTTGACAGCATTTGTAAATTAATTATTATTGATTATTAAATAACGTAATTATTTTATTCCAACTGTAGATGCCAAATGACAATTGTGTCAAATTAAAAATATTCGGACTTTTGGTCAATGTCCAATTGAACGATAGATTAACATCTTGCAGTTAAGCTATCGTATTTCGTATTAAATTTCGTTACGTTCTCCAATAGTTAAACTGAAGATAATACGCATATCGAACAGAAATTAGACCGATGTATTATAATATTGTATAACAATTACGTACACTGATGAAAACATTTTTTTTTCAAACTAATTACCTTTCTAACCTATAATACTGTATAAGACGTATGTTTACAATACTAGAGTTATAACATAGTCAGTATATGGTAATATCTTTACAGTGTGCATTAAACACATTTCTCGTAAGGTCTCGGCCCAGTGTATTTTATTTTATCATCAGCCGCTATAATAATTACATTTATGTGATTCTATGACGATAATACAATGGCGAAAGTTAACGAGAACATACGTATAAATTTCGGATTGTGTGATCTGAATAAAAAAACATCTGAGTAAATATTCGTAAGTCCAACTAGGATAATTCTTCATCATCGCGTTGATCGTATTGTTTGTATACATTCGAAACAGAATAACGTTATTTATAATTATGACATTGAAAAACTTATTCAGAGTGGTAAGGTCATTCTAAATGTCATACGTATTTAATATGTCTAATTTTATACAATTTTAACATAGTAACGAAATGATAAATGTAATTAAAATATAATTATAGGTGTAATAAGAATTAACAATTAATTATAAGTGAAGGCACTATAAGTGTTATCTGAAAATCCTTTTAAGTAAATATATTGTTAGGTTATAATAAAATAATAATCAAGTGTACCATATTTTTATATTATTTATAAGAACCTCAAAATAAAAGATTTGTAAAACTTTTGTTTTAAGATTACAGTCAATAACTGTATCTAGTTTCTGTCAATATCTATTTTTGGGTTAAAATAAAATAATAATCATCGGAACCATATTTTTATAATACTTGTATTTATAAAACTCTTAAAAGAAAAGATTTGTTAGACTTTTATTTTAAGATTACAATCAATAACTGTATCTAGTTTCTGTCAATTTTAAACCAATTTATTTTTGATAAGTAATTACTTTAATCAAAATAATGTGTATGAACTCAATTAAAATTAAATGTTTGTATTTATTAAAAATAAATTGTTCCTTCTACAGTATTATCTTAATAGGTAGGTTATTATATTAATTTAATGAATTACGTAATTGAAAACGGAACAAAGATTTCAATTATAAATTAAAGGACAAGGTATTGCGAAAAGGAAGTTTTTTAAATAATTCAATATCTGAAAATTAAAATACAAAATAATTCAATCATTTAATGGTTACCTCGATTGATATTGAAAAATGTGTAAAAAAGCTGTCATATGTAGTAGAAACTGACAAGTATGTTGACAATATGTTTTATAAACCAAAAAATAATGATCTTCATGCTTTCTTTTAATAAAAATGATGAGTTTTATCATACAACTTGTATGGTTTCTTTCAAAAATTAAATCATGAAAGTAAACTTACTCGTATACTTAGATTCTTTGGGACGATTGTAAATTCCACAGATTTATAGATACTCTATTTTAGGCCTGGTGCATACTTGCGTTAATTAACGTGCGGCGCCGCTGCGATACTGCTGCGAGGCCACAGAAACTCATGGACATGTCCGTTGTTTTAACGTCCGGCACCGCTGCAAGGCTGTTTAAAAACGTTTGGTCAGATACGTAACGATGCCATCAGTCGTATTTGTTTTTTTGTTGGCGATGGAGGTCTATAAAAAAAAAAAAAATCGTGCGAATTTCGCGTACATTGTACACAAAAAATTTATTTTAAAAAAAAAATACGTTACTGGGTACATCCTTACATCGATGATAGGCTTACTAGAGGTGGCTTTATTACTTTATTTTCGGGTTTACGAGAAAATCTAGATAAGTTTTTTAACTACTTCCGTATGAGTGTTCAATCGTTTGACAAACTTGCAGACAAAATAACTGATATGATAGATACAAGATACAAGGATGAGACTCTGCATACCTCCAATGGAAATGCTAGCTGTGACTTTAAGGTAAGCGTATTTTATGCAGCATATATTATTCTGCTGTTTTGAAAATTAAGTGCCTATACAATTGAATGATAATTGTATGATTTTAATAAATATTCAATTTTAACTCGAAAAATATTATTATTTAATAAATTTTACAGGTGAAAATAATAATACAAAATTTTAATTATGTAATTTATTTTGTGTTATTTATTCATAAAGTTTCATTATTGAATAAATCTATACTGTTTTCGTCAAGTATATTCTGAGGAGGTTTCCTCATACGTTTAATAATATTAAGTATTTCATAGCGAAAGTCTAGTTCCTGGTCTTCGGTGAAATCAGATATCGATGACAGAATACTTTCGAAAAATGAACGGTCTGGATTAAGTTATCGAACGGCTGGAGCTGTTGGTGTAGGAATTGAAGTGTTCATGAAATCAATTAAAGAGGCCTCTATATCCAATTTGCGTTTTTTCGCAAAACACTGGCTAAAGGGGGAGGTTGTTCCGGTTCCTCTGGCTGGGTTACCTCTTCCTTTATTTCGTTGTTATAAAAGTTGGATTGCGTTTCCGTAGCAGCACCTGCAGTTTGTAAGAACGATAATTGCCGGGCATAAATGTATTTTCTTCTTGATCCAACTGCGTGTCCAGATTTTGTTTTGTTTAAACTTTTTTTAAAGTTGTCCTTAACATTTCGCCATTTTTTTATACAAGAGGTACCTGAAAATATAGTAATTTTTTTATACAATTATTATTTTTGGTTATTAAAAATTAAGTATTTAAATATATATATATACCCTTAATACAACCTTTACAAATGTTCAACTTAAATATTTTACCCATATTGTGAAGTTCACAATTTTTTTTATAAATGTACGTTTTTCTTCTTTGGTTACAGGTATTTAGGCAGTGAATGTGATCAGGTAGATTTACACTTGTCATACAAAATTGGACATACAACTATCGGTAAGATTTTAAGAAAATTATGCATTACAATTTGGGAATTACGCTGGATAGAAATTTCTCGAGGTTATCAAAAATATGCCCTTTTACTGAAATGCTTAGGTGCGATTGATGGAGAGCACGTACGAATTAGAAAACAAAATAAGAATGGGTCATTATTTTACAACTATAATAATTTCTTTTCCCTTGTTGGTCGAGGTTAGAATAGACCATCGGTTGTTCCTGCCTGTCATAAAAAGCGACTAAAAGGGACTTGTAGTAGGGCAGCAGCTACTGCAATATTGGGCATAGGCCATGAACTACATGTCAGGCAGCATCTAACAGATACAGGAAACTGTATGAATGATGGCTGCACTGCGATACGGAAGGCAACGGGAAACCACCGTATTAATATCCCAAGTAACAGCAATCAACATATCTTCTTCTCAAGTAAAAAATTCCGGAGGTAAAATAGTCACTCATTCGGATCTCCAAGTGGGGACTACAGGAGATATATGAAGTATTAAGGATGTGAAGGAATATAAACGAATAACAACTTATAATGTAAGGACTTTATTACAATGTGAGAAACTGGAGAATCTGAAAATAGAAATGTACAAGATGAAAATCGATATTCTTGAAATATCATAAATGAGATGGCCAAAGTCAGAAGACACCATAGAATAATATATACAGGTGCATCAGAGAAAAAACCTGGTACAGGAGGAGTAGGGATTATAATGAATAAAACTCTAGGAAAAAAAGTTAAAAGCTGTATACAATATAACGATATCCTAATCAAGCTTTAGATGAAACCAAAAGATACAATAGTAGTTCAAGTTTATATGCCGACATCATACAGTAGCGACGAAGAGATAGAAGAAGTATACGGAATTATAGATAAAATAATCGAAAATGTTAAAGGGGAAGAGAATTTGGTAGTTATGGGTGATTGGAATGCCGTTGTAGGAGAAGAAAAAGTAAATAATGTAACAGGTGCCTTTGGGTTGGGAAGGCCAAATGAAAGAGTAGAATGCCTATTCGAATTTTGTACAGAACATAACTTAATTATAAAAAATACTTGCTTCGATCACAATCGAAGAAGAAGATACACGTGGAAAATGCCAGGAGACATAAGTAGATACCAAATAGATTACATCATGGTTAAGAACAGATTTAAAAATCAAGTAAAGGAAAGTATAAGTTATCCAGGAGCGGATATAGATAGCGACTAATATCTAGTAGTGATGAAATGCGAACTTAAATTTAAAAGAATAATGGGTAAAAAGAAGAAAATAGTGCAGTGGAAAATTAAAAATCTGAGATATGAAAAAATAAGCAAAAAATTTAATGAAGACACTAATGATGTAATTATTGAAGAATCCTAAAATATTAAAGAAATATGGCTGAACTTAAAAGATATAATTACAATGGCTGCAACGAAAACTACAGGAAACAGCAACAATGGAGCAAGAAAGAAATGGATTATAACGAAAATAGTCAACATGATAGAGGAAAGAAGAAAATACAAGAATTCGAAGAGTATAGATGGACAGAAAAAATACAGAGTACTGAGGAATCTAATCATTAGGAAATTGAAGGGAGCAAAGAAAAATATTTGGTAAAAAAAGTGTAGTGAAATAGAAACCCTCATAAGGACAGGAAGTAATGATGAAGCATATATAATGGTGAAAATGTTTTTTGGTCACCATAAGCCCCGAGCAGGAGGAATAGAAGATAGCAACGGAAGAATGCTATATGAACAAAATGATATAGCGAAAAGATGGAAAGAATATCTATAAATCCTGTACAAGAGGGAAACACTCAAGAAAAATGAAACCAACAAATCAAAAAAAAAAAGACAAATCTGAAGAAGATGATGAAATAGTTCCAATTATGAGAGAAGCGAGCAAGCTTTGCGGAATCTAAAAAATAAAAAAGCAGCAGGAATCGATTGAATACATGCGGAGCTTTATTATAAAAAGGCGAAAAAAAAATATAAAATGGAATCATTTCAAATTATCATATACGTCGTATACGAAACCGGTGAATTGCCTGAAGATAACATAAAGAGCCTAATTATCCCCATCCCAAATAAAACAGCAGCAAAGTAATGTGAAGAATATCTGTATATATAAAACAGTAAGCTGATTGACTGCTATCAACAGCTCAAACCATTGGACGGATCTGGCTGAAATTTAGCATACAGATAACTATTATAATGTAGACGTGCGCTAAGAAAGGATTTTTCGAAATTATTGTTAAGTTAGACAAGGTTGTACATTATCCCCAATTATATGCAACGTATATATTCAAGAGACAATAGATCTAATAAAGGAAAATGCTAATTTAGGGATAAAGAATAATAGACAAAAAGTAAGTATGTTAAGTTTTGCCGATGACATAGCTTTAATTGCTGAAAGCAAGGAAGACCTGGCTCAACTAATTAAAGCTATGAATAAAATATTCGAAAAAAAGTTGGAAATGAGAATAAATGTGAAGAAAACAAAAGTACTTATATGTGAAAGGGAAAATAATACAAGAATACAGATAACATATTTCTAAAAATAAATAAATAAATAAAAATACGAAACTAAACAATAGAACAAGTAGATGAGGTTACATACCTGGGAAGCGCAATCAACAAAGATAGAAGAAACAGAAGTGAAATAAAAAAACGTATCTGTCAAGCTAAAATAGCCTTTAACAAAAATAAAATTATATTTACATCAAGAAGCATGAGTATAAAAATATGAAAAAACCTATTAAAATTGTATGTATGGAGCATTGCCCTGTAGGGGTGTGAAACTTGGACAATAACAACGGAAGAAAAAAGATGACTTGAGCCGTTTGAAATGTGGTCCTATAGAAGGATGTTAAGGATAAGTTGGATGGACAGTAACTAACATAGAAGTACTGGAAAGAATATCAGATGGAAAGTTACTATAGAATAACATAGTCAAAAGACGAAACGAATGGATAAGCCATATCATAAGATACGATAGATTGCTGAATCTGATAATAGAAGGAAAAAACCATAGGAGTAGACCAAGATTGGAATTCATTCAACAGATAATAATGGACCAAGGATGTGACCCGTATGTGGAATGAAAAGGAAGACGGATAAGAGGGAAGACTGGAATATGGCTGCAAACCAATATACGGATTGAAACCATAAAGAAAGAGAAAAATTTCTTTTCAATTGTGATGCTAGACGCGAATTACAATTTCATTTATATTGATGTTTGGAGCTTTTGATAAAGAATCTGACAGTAAAATATTTGAAAATTTAATATAAAGCTTCAAAATAACGAACTGAATATTCCAGGAAGTCAACCTCTCCCCGGAACTGACAATCCAAATATGCCCTTCACGTTTATTGGAGATGAAGCATTTTCTCTTTCACCGAAAATAATACGACCTTATAGCGGTTAAGTTTTGTTCGATAAAAAAAGGATTTTCAACTACAGATTGTCACATGCTCGTAGATGTGTTGAAAGTGTATTTGGAATATTATCAAATTAATGGAAAATATTCAATAAACCAATTAATGCAAATATAGATTTAAGCATACTTCTAGTAAAAACTTGTGTTCAACACAATTTCGTACGATCCAGAGATGGATTTAACATTCAAGAAACAATGTATGTAGAAGGATTGATTGAAATCGAACAAGGCATGTCAGAACCTACTCCGAGAGCTACTAATCAATCAATCAATGCAAAAAACAATTTAGATGATTATTTTGTTTCAGGTATCAGCAGTATGCCTATGGCAAACAAATAATATGTAAACTAGATAAATTATATTATATTATATTACATTATACGTTATATTCATTATCTTTAAATTTTTTATTATACAATTAAATAATATTTTCAAATATTTCTTAAAAATTAAATAAATCAAATATTATAAAGTAAAGAACAAATTACATAAAAAATACTTACATATATCATTTTTTTTACGTTCATCCTTTTCATCGAATCCTTCACAAAACACCCTACAAATCTCAACCCACGCTCCTCTTTTCTTAGTTCGATTGTGGTAAGTATTGTCAGCTATATTCCATACTTCGGGATGAAGATTAACTTCGCCGATAAACAGCTCCATATCTACATTATCAATATTAAATTAAATGGTTTTTGTTGCCATTTTTGTGATTTTTGCACAGTTTTAAACAATTGTATATGTTATTTAACAATTTTACCGAGCGTAAAAAAAACTCTTGTGTGTATCACACGATTGACGACAAAGTGCTGTTTGCCGGAGTTGCGGTTGATAACGCGTGTGCGGTGAACTTGCGGCGTGGCGGGAACGTACGGTAAAAATTACACACGCGTGAACGTACGGTAAAAACTACACACGCGGGAACGTACGTCGCCGCAACGTCATGTGCACCGTTTTATGCTATTATTACTATTTCTAAGGCCTGTTGCACGCTTGCGTATTTTTAACGTGCGGTGCCACTGCGGCGCCGCACGTGTGATTAGAAATACTAATAATAGCATGATAATAGCACGTTTTATTTATCTGTAATAAAAATAACATCATGACATAATATTATTCATTTATTATTTATTATATCTAATAACATTAACAAATATACTCGTATATATTAAAAATAAATAGTTATATAAATATTATATTTTGATACTTATATATTTTTATACATTTATTTAAAAATATTTATAAAAAATAATAATTATCACTTTGGTTAGCCAAAAATAAAAAATTTAATTTATTAAATATTTCCACGTTCGCTGATTATTTCGTGAAATGTGTTCATTTTGAAATCAAAAAAACCAACTAAAATCTGTCTATAATATAAGTAAATATATTATTTAAGGCGATATGCCATTTAAAGCTATTAATATTTCGATATTGAGATGACGTTTAGATAAGACAGTGGTCAGTTGATGATTAGCTACTCGTATACTTAAAATAGTTGTAATCCAAGGATTTTGCTATCAATGGAGTTTACACGTATTGCAGCCAAAAAAACATATTAATGAAGTATACATTTTTTCCAGGTAAAAAAAAGAAACCGGTGGAATTTATATTTTTTTTTTATATATATATAAATGTACCGACCTGTGGAATTTACTTTAAAAAAAAAAATGGTTGAAAAGGTCATAATCGATGAAGCTTACATGTGTCCGTTATTTTATATTGATTCCAGGCATGTAGAATATACATTGTACATAGTAGAACTCATGAACTGGAAAATAGTAAAAATAATTTTTACTCATCTGACATATATTTAATGTAATCGAAAGAAAAAAACTACTAATATGTTGTTAATCAAAGATCAACTTACTGAAAAAAATTATTGAGGTAAAACACCAAAATCTTGCTTCAGATGAATTGTAAATACTGCTAAGTTAAGGTTGAAAATGAGCTTTTGGGATAAACGTGAATCGGATAAAGATCTCTTTCCTTTGAACATTAGTCATTGAATTTTTTTTTGGATATTGTATTACAATTAGCCAAATATGATGATACAATGAATACACATATTCAATCAATATTGAAAATAGCTATTACAAATAAGACTCAATATTTAAGTCAACAAATAACCTTATATACAAAAACAACAAAAAACATTTTTAAATCAATAACTAAGTTGATATAAACAATAACAACGAGTAAAAAAATAAATGCAACAATAATGTATTTAACAGAAGCAGATACAACGTAAGACATTTCTATAATAGGTATTTATTCCATCATTATCAGATACATTTTGCAAATGTTTTTAAATTTTTTCAATGTTCGGAATCTACCGTATGCGCACTAGCTACACAATCTTTAAACCCTAAAAAAACAAAAAGTATTAATCAGAGAACAATATCGACATTAAACATTATAACAATAGCTCAACCGATGGTGTGTCCATCTCGGCTGATCAATATGATGAATTTCCCACGTAGTTTGATAAAAAATTCTCAAACCAAACTCAAATTTGGTATATTTATTGTTTAAATTTAATTATTTTAAAAGTCACTTCGTTTGATTTCATACTACATACTTATCTAAATACTTATGAGCCGAAATAATGTATATCATTTAAGTCAAGTACACGGTACTTGATTAATTCGACGGTAGAAGTATTGAAAAAAAAGTAAAAAAAACTTTTCAAATTTACTGAATGCTTCAAATATGTTCGTCTCATAGGCCAATAATGAATTTAAACATGTATTAATCATACAAAAAAAGCTTCTGAACATTTGAATTAAAAAAAAAAATAATAATAAATAATAATAATAAGAAAATAAAAACTAACGTAAAACATACATAACAAATTATATCGGCTGCATCAAAATTCTAATATAATTTCCATAATTTAGTTATGAATACAGCGGTAACAAAATACAACTACTGTAATTTCCAATAACTTCTTTTGTAAAATTAACAAAACTTCTTTTTTTTTTTTTGAACCGAGAACCGAGCGGGAATTGTTTGCACATTACTGCCGCCCGGAAAATTAAAAAAACTACTTAGATTTAATGTACTGTTGTTACGGGCTTGTATTCAAGAGTTAAAGGCAATACACGTATGGTATATAGGGGTCAAGGGGTAATCTTAAACATAATGCATACGCGTTCACAGGTAATGTATTTATGGATGCACACAAGTGATTTTATATCGAAAACAATTTCATAAGAATAGTCGCATAGAAGCTCATATTAATGAGTAGGTGTGACCATATATAAAATAATATCATTAAGGTAAATATATTAAAATGTCACAAACAAAACGAGGATGTGCACACAATATAATAAGAGTATTTTCAACTTTTTCTTCATTTTGGATAAACTATAGAGAAAATCGAAAAAAAAGATATCCAGTACAATGAGAAACTATCAATGAGGCTTATAGTACGAATTTACACTGCTCGAAAGTGAAAATTAAAATTAATAATAAAATGTTTCTAAATCGCTCAGGTCGAAGTCGGTATAGTTGCCGTTGGACGACTATAAGTTTTTCTAGGTATAGATACCATTACTGCTGTCTTACGGTGTACGTCACTCCGACGATTACAAATGTAGCACACAGGCGAAAACTTCGGTGAAACTTCGGTGACTGACGGTATATATCCTATATACCCTGCAGCTGTCGAGTCGCACAACCTTTGCCGTATACGTCATCGAGTACTCCCGATGTGTATTGTTCACGACATGATTGTAATATACTTTATCTCTGTACAGTTTGTATTATTCGTTTTATATACACAATAAATCGCAATTACAACTACTTTTAATTTATACAAAGAATACACAATTCTATAATGCAGAAAAAATAAACATTTTTGTAAATATTGACAATGATCGTTATTAATGTTGTACCCTTTTAGTTGAAAATCGATTAATGGAAATCCGAGAATTATGATTTTATGATTTTTTTAATAAGATTATAACAGTGGTCCGTATTTTCTTGATAAAATAGATACAATCATATTAAATGTTTCTTAAAAACGATTGATTTGTTGTTCTCGTCTTATTTTCGGTATCAACGTCACGTATTAATAATAAACTCATCGATTGCGAATGAAGATTAATTTTTCTCGAGCGTATAATAATCGTAACGCATACAGTTTTTTATTTTCTATTCGATTGTAACAGTCTCTATATAATTGCTCACTAGAACATTAAATTGTACACAGTTATGTTTCATTTGGAAGGCGCCACCGTCCGACAGCTACGATCGTGATTTGAACGTCACGATGTGTTTGCCGCACACGATTCACAGATTTAATGGAATTTATTTTCAAAAATGGCGCCATCCACTGACCGTTTGTAAATCTCCAATAGTGATACGTGGGGCAATACTTGTACGTAATAGAGCAGTGTTCCGGAGTTCCAGTCCGATGGACAGTAGAAGCGGCTTGTAAGCACTAACCGGCGGTGCATTGGTAAAAAACATTCTTCATGTATATTTTGATTAAATAAATTAAAATTTAGTAGGCATACCAGTATATCTATGAACATATTTGGAGATGAATAATTTACGTTTTAACGTTTAAGTAGTTTTAATGTGATACGAAAGAAGCCAGAACAATTTTTTCAGGGTAGGTGGAGTGGTTTAAATTATACTGTCCCGGTAAGATGTAAATGTTTAAACCGTCTCTGACAGACTGTGACACCAGAAACGAGTGGTAACCGCAGCAGACCTGTTCGGTATATTATGCGTGTGTTATGAACCCCTGAATATTATATGTAATATTGTATATGAATTTAGACGGTCAGGAATTGTGTGACGACGAACCAACGGAATCTGCTGACGAAGGAATTCCATCAGGTTCGGCGTATGGGCGAACACACTAAGGAGGTGGCAGTCAGTCGTATTATGGTATCAGAGCGATATAGTTGTAAAATTAGCAGAGCATTGTGTATTAGAACTAGTATCAATATAATTTTGTACTTAAAGTTTAATTAATAGCTATATAATAATAAATACATTAATAATAATTAATCGTGCGTTAATATTATTTTGTGTGAACTAAGATTTCACAACACACGTGAGCACACGATCGGTTGACGAACGACGGTTTAATTTAAAAATTAAACATATCTTATTGAACTTAATGTAAACATGGCGACGATGATGGACGATAGGAGAAGTAACACCGCGCAAGACCGTATTAACATTATCGGAATGTAATAAGCAGGGCTCATAACTTCTAGCATTTGCATATTTTTTTTGAGAGGTCCTCGAGGTGCCTATGTAAGCTATAAATTTGTTTCAGATAACCAAGAAGCTACAAACGAAATTTTATGCTGCATATTTTTGAATATTTCGGAGTATAAGTGCTATTTTGCTTTTTTTCGCTTTTTTTTGTTTATTTTTGGATTTTTGCATGATTTTTATCATTGATTTTTTTAAAATATTTTTTAGTAGCCTAAAACATTTTTTCTTAAAAATAACAAGTAATTATAGTCATATAAGTAATTAATTCGCGTTAATTAATTATTATTCTTATATAACTTTTATAATAATATCAGATAATATATATATATATATATATATATACCTATACGAGTTTAGGCGACGCACAACGTAACGAGAGTGTACACCAGAAACTTCGTAATCCCATCGATAAGGAAACCATTATAATTGTATATAATTTTAGCTTGTACTGTAGTATTTTATTTTTATAGTTTCTAGGTATTCAGGTATTCCGATATCATTATCTAGATATTCCGATATCATCATTTTCAGATTATTTACAGATTATTTTTCATTAACATTTTGCAGTCGTTTACGATTTTTCGTACTATATGCATGCTAGTTCGTTTCATGAATTCAGTATCTATTTTTTTTTTTTTTTTTTAATAATAGAAGCTAAAATAATAAAATAATGTAAAAAATAAAAATTTTTGT